TGGCAGCGTGCTCTTTGTGAGTACGCTGGAGACCGATATCATTTTTGGGTGTAAACTTTATCAGGAGAACACACTGAAAAGACATTTTAAAAATAACATCAAGTTTAGGAAGTCGGGAACACACTCTGGGCAATTCCAAATAATTTATATTTGTAATTATTATAGCAAAATGCCTTGTGGAGCAATCCTTCTGGACTAGATCCCAGTCACCACTTTCTACATCATCCCCCCCGCCTCGTCATCTGAGAGCTCTAGGATCCTTTCAATCACTACTAAAATATATCAGATAATGTGATATGTGAAATCCCCGCAGTTTGAGGGTTCCAGAGAAGGGCTCCTCTTACCACCCTGAGGGTGGAAGTGCTGAGAGATCCCCATGGTCCAGTGAGGCTGGTGCATCTCCAACTTGTAGTTTGTGTCTATCTTCACTATGAATATTCTCTTAATTACTTCACATCTTCATGTCACATGGCCCTGCCTGGAGATGTCTTAGGGGCTGGTTATGATGATGCCAGAGAAGTATCTGACCCTGAAGATGACCCAGTTTGGGGGCAGAATGATGAGGAAGGCACTGGGGCAAGTGACAGGAACAGGGATTCACAGACAGGTGACAGGTTTTAGAGTAGCAGCCATGTTAGTCAGTATCTGCAAAAAGAACAGGAATACTTGTGGCACCTTAGAGACTAACCTGGCAATTTGCTGACTAGGCTTATTTTGGCAAAGCAAGGTTATCTTTTGTTTGTTCTGCTTCTATTAGCTAATCACTATTTGCTAGGCCTCTGGTCTCTTGACCAAACTCTGCACTTTTGGTCTGGAAAAGAGCTGGCACAATCCATATGTCAGGTTATTATATAAAATGTGCATGGATTTTAACCCTTCACTGTACATGACCAAAAAGCAGAGAATTATATAGTGACACCTGGTGAGGGATAAATGACTGTGCAGTTATTTGTGGAGAGTGTCCTATAATGATGCCAAGCACATGTTCAGCTCAGTGTATTTTTGTTGGACTGATGTGCATCATCTTCTAGAAAGTTTTTGCAAAAAGAAGAACAGGAGTACTTGTGGCACCTTAGAGACTAACAAATTTATTAGAGCATAAGCTTTCGTGGACTACAGCCCACTTCTTCGGATGCATCCGAAGAAGTGGGCTGTAGTCCACGAAAGCTTATGCTCTAATAA